GTATTATTGTTAGTTCATCAGCTTAAACATAGAAGTTGGGTATTTCACTCAGAATAAAAGTGGAAAACAAGTAACCTACTTTTTTTCTTCAAGTTACAAACAAGTGAAAATGCCCTATGKGATCAGACTTTAAAATACTTAGAGAGAAGAATCTGATGCTAACAACTTTTCCTGTTTTTGGAATCAAAACTATTTTTTTTCAACTTCTATCCCACTAAAGCTGCATTCAAACTCTGTGAGTAAGATTCAATTCATTCACGATAAAGCCTGCACAGCAAGCTTCCCGGGGGGCATTTATGATTAACCCTTACTTCCACACCTTCCACAGTGTGATACCCAAACTCCCAGAGGTTGAATACGATGTGTCCCAACACCTGACAGGATACTGAATGAGTGTGGGTGAGTGTGAGCACGTGTGAACTGTAGTGTTGGTCTACAGAGCTACTGTACTTTTAACCTCAGTGATAGGTTGAGTGCTTCCCTAGATGCTTATAGACTCATCGACTCATGTTTACATTACAGGATCACCATGTGCATCTTTTCTGCAGGTGTGTGCACGTGGGGGGTGAATGACAGCTGATAACTGAAGTGCACAGTAGCAAATGTAAATGAAAGAAGAGGGAGACGGGGAGAGTTCGAAAAAAGGCACTTTGCCCATGCTGCGATAGGACAATGGTGACTGGCAGCACCCCCCACCTCTGCTCTTTCATAGCATAATCATATTAGTCTTTTCCCATGGCTCATGATGAAATTCCATGGCAAGTCCCACCGGAAACATGACGATCACCCTCTCAGTCATTGAAAAGATGACAGTTCTGAGGTTGTGATGACACACAGAGTATTTTTTTATTGTAGCAGTTCCAGCTAAAGGTCATGCTCCAAGACACATGAGACGAAAAATATGCCCAATTGTTTCCTAGCAACAAGGTATTTCTGTGTTAAGAAAGGTTTTCAGGCATCTGTTTACACACTTAACTAAATAAAATTTAAACCTCCAATGCAATTAATAGAAATTTTAATTTTTCCCTTCTCTTTACCTCCTTATTATATAGCTTTTTTTCTGTTTCTGGCCTGTTTTGACTTTACCCCAGACTCTCCCTCTCTGTCTTTGTCTGTCCCTCTTTATGTGCCCCACTCTTTAGCCCCACAGCTATCAGATTGCAGCATTTTTCCCCTCCCCTTGTGCAAGCAGATAATTCCACCCGTGACCTCTTTGCTGCCCAGCTCTGAGGCTGTGATTGTGAAAGCTCATCAAGCAACCCTCCAACCTAAACAGATAAAAACTCGCAGCTCCATCAGTTTTGGCACATGTGCAGAAATGCCCTTTATTTCCRATTAATGGAGACGTTCTGCCATGTCCAATAAAAAAGTGAAACTTTTTATGATACATTTGAACAGGTGAATTTGACTTCAAAAATATAAGTGATTTGCAACAGCTCAAGAATTAAGAAATTCTGACATTCATCTGTACTGTGACAGTTACCAACCAACATTTTTTTTCAAATTATAAAAAGTACTGTTGACTGTTTTTGTCAATTCTCTCAGAAGCAAATGAGCTACACACTAGAAATAGAGAAAACTCATTAATACAATTAGCATTTTGAGGGAAAGAACCAGTTTTCTCAAATGTTTCTCTGCCTCTCGAACGATTGCGTCTTACATAAATCGTGATACAGAAAGTGAGGCTGGTGGCTTTTCTGTTTTCACAGATGTGTTTCCTGCTTGTGAACACTCTTCTTTCACCAATAGTTTTACTATATAGCTGCCAAGATAAGCCACGCTTTAAGTAAATATAAATCACCAATCAAGCCACCCACATCCCACAAAGTTGTACACATTCATAAATGAAGATGGCTTCATGAAAGCAAAAGAGGCATGGAGTATAACACAGTGGTGTTGATGTGCTGCTACACACATAATGTTGGCTAGTCACAGACCGTCTGTCATTGTTATTTCACACTGAGATATGAACCAGGCTTGCTTTTACTTATAGATCTTTCACAAAACACTTTAAGCTGGAACTGAGACWAGTCCTAGCCATCTTAGTTCGATTTCTTAAAGGACCGAGCTGAGAAGGGCTGAAGTCAACCCCATGTTCACCTCTTAGACGTCGCCAAGTAGGTAAAAACAGACACCCATGCCTCTTCTTGATGTGATTCTGTAAAGCTTCTTTTAGTTCTAAAAGCTCACATCTATGTGGGAGGTGGCCAACTAGATGAGTGATTTATGAACGGTCAGGGGGGGGGTTGAAGTCGGACTGAATTGAAGTTGGACTGATCTTTGCAGTAATTTCTTTGAACTCCTTTGTGAAAGTACCTAYAGTCAATCTCTTAAAGTGCTGTTACTACATCCCTTAGCAGCATGTTGACCTGAAACCCCTGTCCCACCTCCATGCTTCAACATACAATTACGTCCATATACTGTATATTTGGACAGAGACAACATTTTTCTAATTTTGGTTCTAGACATTACCACAATGAATTTTAACAAAACAATTCAGATGAAGTTGAAGTTCAGACTTTCAGCTTTAATTCAGTAGGTTGAACAAAATGATTGCATAAAAATGTGAGGAACTAAAGCATCTTTTAAACAAAATCCCTTCATTTCAGAGGCTCAAAAGTAACTGGACAGATTAAACAATTGTAAATAAAATGTTCATTTCTAGTACTTGGTTGAAAACCCTTTGTTGACAATGACTGCCTGAAGTCTTGAACTCATGGACATCACCAGACACTGTTTCCTCCTTTTTAATGCTCTGCCAGGCCTTCACTGTGGCGGTTTTCAGTTACTGTTTGTTTGTGGGCCTTTCTGTCTGAGRTTTAGTCTTYAACAAGTGAAATGCTCAATTGGGTTGAGACCATGTGACTGACTTGGCCATTCAAGAATATTCCACTTCTTCGCTTTAATAAACTCCTGGTTTGCTTTGGCTTTATGTTTTGGGTCACTGTCCATCTGTAGTATGAAACACAGAACAATCAGTTTGGCTTCATTTGGCTGGATCTGAGYACACAGTTTGTCTCTGAATACCTCAGAATTCATTGGGCTGCTTCTGTCCTGTGTCACATCATCAATAAACACTAGTGACCCAGTGCCACTGGCAGCCATGCATGCCCAAGCCATCACACTGCTCTGCTATGTTTTACAGATGATGTGGTATGCTTTGGATCATTATATATTATATACATTATATAACTATAACTTGAATATGTTTCAGTAAACAGGTAAAAAGACAAAATTTGTGTCAGTGTCAAAATATATATGAACCTAACTGTATCACACCAAATTTGGCCAGAAAGCATCTTAGTGCATCTTTCAAGTTTTTGGAAGAGACTACAGTAAGAAACTAGGTGCCCTCTCGACATCATCTGCTGTCCACATGGAAATGTTTATGAATATGCTTCTTTTTGATAATTTCATTTGCATCTACATTTGYAGCTACTGCTTTGTCAGATAAATTGATTTTAATTTRGAAGCCTTATCAACACGGACTGGCTTCATTCACTTCCTCCACTGCCGTATGCTAAAMTAACTAGCAGACACTGCGCAGAAAATCGCCGTCGTTCAAAACTCCTCCTTCTGTTTGCTGATTGGCCTAGGTAAAATAAACTACAACTGCACAGAAAATTGACATTCTCTTCTCTGACTGGCCTGGCTAAAAATCTGCCAGCAAAATCCTTGTCAATGGGAGAAGTCCCAGACGGAGCAGTGAAGGGAAACTGCAATTGAGCGGAGCTGCGTAGGAAGGCAAGGGCCAGGCTAAATTAGTCCTAAACCTAACCACTAACCCCAAATTTTTATTTATTTTTATTTTATTTTACCGTTATTTATCCAGGCAAATCCCACTGACATGTACTACCATTGGGGTCTTTGTTCCCCTGGTCATGACAAGGTAGGTATTTATACTAGAAACAAAAACACAGGTACACACACACTCACAGTGAATGCCAGTCTCGATGGTTTTGGAAATTCCAACTTTCACCATCACAAACTTTGCAGTTTTTCCAGTTTCCCACCATTCATCTAACACCCCACCCCTCTTTCGTTTAGTGCTTTTTGTCCCTCAGTCAAGAGCTGCTCATAAATAAGCATGTGGCAGCTGACAAAAGAAGGGGCATCCACAGAGAATAGTGTCTCATCTTACACAAAGGTAATGACTAAATAAAGACCAGCACTAAAAAGTGTGGGAGAAAGAGGTCTTTCTGGTGCAATAAACTATAACCTGTCTTCAGCCATATCATACCACCACCACTTACCTGTTAGCTTTAACTCATTTCCAGCCACTCTTCTTCTTTATTCAAAACAGTGTTTTTTTTAAATGTGCACCTGATCCCTAGATACTTGTAAACCTTTACATCACATGGAAGAAAATTTAAGCAAGGAACTTTAGATACAACCAACAAACCAAAATGTGTTATGAATGTATTACATTTGTCTTCTTTTATGAAGCTAGCATTCAAAGCTCATGTTTTATAGTTGATGTGTTGTCCAAAGGCTTTGTAGAAACAAATCACTGGTTGCTGCAAGTTTAAACAGTTGGTTGAGGGTTAAATAATTTATTTAAAGGTTAGAACTATGTTGAAGGGTACAATACTGTAGCTATACAGTCACTGTAATATCTCAACATGACTTGTGGATCATCCCTGTGATGGACTAGGGATCTATCCAGGATGTATCCTGCCTCTCACCTGCTAGAGACAAGTACCAGCTACTCACAACTCTGAAAATGCGTGAGCGGCCATTAAAATGTATATAGTTATGAATCACACAGCAAGCACAGAAGTGTTTTCTTAATAAGAGAATATAAACTACTGTTGTTGTTTTAAATTGCTCAGTATTACCATGTAGGGCTATTTGATTCTTGTAAAAATGTGTATCAGTTTCTGCAGGTGTAAAGTGAGATGATGAGTCTGTCAGACAGTTAGTTGTCTTTCTCTCTCCTAACTTGCACTTTAATAGAAATCAAAAATGGGTATAACACCATAGATATTGATTTAATTTTGATGTAACAGTTTATTTCCAACAAACACTGGAAGAGCTGCGAGATCACATGAGAGCTTTGATTAAAAAGAATGCAAGGCAGTGAAGGGATATCCTTTCCCTCAAGAAGTATTTATTTTTTAGTAAGGCATTTAAATTTGGTGGCAACTTCTAGTTAACTTAGCCAGGCAGAACAATGTTGCAAAGTAAAGTAAATAGTATCAAACTTAGAGTGAATAAAAGAGTTCTTCACATCCAATTTATCTACTTTCAGATAACAGCAATTTTTCTAAATATTTTCAGGTACGCTGATGTAGGATTTCATCTTCTTTTTGTCAGTAATATGCAAAATGCAGAGAAGCAAATACATTTGTAAGTTTGGGTTAATGTTTTGCTGCTACAATTTGGTTAGAAACAAAAATCGGACATGATTTGTTTGCACCTACTTGCTAGCTGCAAGTTCACAGTCCKGCTGGTCAGTGCTCCGTGGGTGCTGGCGCTCACACAGCTATAACTCCCCTCCAATTTCTGGTCTGAAGAGGTGGGTAGCAGGAGGAGGGATCCATTGGACAAATACTGCAGGTAATTGATCTCCTCCAGTGGCAGCGACTGGCCATCCTTGAACCAGGTAACATTGAAGGGTGTGTCGCTGGTCCCCAGGTTGCAGTCCAGCAAAAGGGGCAAACCGGGCTCCAAAACTACATGGCTAGGCCCAGCACCACAGCTCAGCTCCACTGAAACAGGCTTTTCTGTGCAGAAAAAAACAAACAAGGAAAATAAAAAAGTGTCAGTTGTGCTTTGTACCAACAATCAAGGACAGTTTAAGTTATTTTTTTTATTTCAAAATCTTACATTTTGTAGCAACCCATTAAAAAAACCTAATTTTACTCTGTGAACACCACCATAGTCCAACTGAATAAATAATACTTTTCCTGTCATTAATCAACCTTTTTTTACTCTTTCATACATTTTGGCAATTAATCATACTGTTATTTCTGTATGCCTTCTCAGTCTCATCATTTGCCAATTTGTCTTTTCAAAGCTGAACTTCAGCAGAGTCAATACTGTTGGCAGCACCGATGACTATAGTGCCTCATTGAGTTCTGGAGGCAGAAAGCAGACCTTCCTCAGTGGAGGAGGGAGCCGAGGAGGTCTGAAAATGAAATCGGTGCAACATGAGGAGAYAATGAGCTGCTGCAAGATAAGCTCTGCATAACATGCCGTCAAAGATGGTTCTTCCAAGGTTTTTTTATGTATTCATGGCTGACTGATTGCTTTGCTATGTGATTTACAATTGCTACCTCAATGACATTTCAAATTATAAATGTATTTTATATTCAATCTCTTGTGTGGTATGTGTTATACCACACATACACTTGGACAGCTGTTGATTTTATTGTCATGTTCAAAGACCCGTATCTCCGCTAAATTGTTAATGTTTTTTTAATTTKTTCATAAAAAAGTAAAAATTTGCAATTTTGTTTTTTCAAAAGCCAAAGAAATAACACTTTGTTCTGTTAGAGACTCTTGTGGTGTTAATAAGTTATTTTTTTACCTATTTTGGGCAGTTCTGTTGTATTACTCCAATAGACTGTGAATTAGTCTGGAAATGATGATTAGTTAATACTTTTAGCATGAAGGGTCTTTATGCATTATACATTAGTGCTTTGTTTTAGCAAAGAGAATGAAAAAAAGTTTTATTATAAGTGGCCATTTAAGTGGAATTTTGCTTATGATTGTATATTGGAAAATAAATTATAAAACATTGAAAACAGAACTTAATAAAAGCTTAAAAAGCATTTCAGTGTGTGTATTTTAGAGAAATGAATTCTCCTCAGCAACTTCAACACATTAAACAAATGCTTCAGTTCTTTCATACATTCATTTTCTTTTCTCAAAAATGCTTGTACTGACTATTTCTAAAGAAGGTTATTCTGAAAACACCTCAGAAAGACAAATGTATTGAAAAGAAATCCCTGGAAACACTTCATTTCTGGGTTTATTGAATTATTGTAATTCATGTATTTGTCTCTGCAGTTTTTTACACTCCCCAGCCATGACGCTCTCTTGTTAGATTTCATGATTTAATGATTTTCTTTTTTTAACAAAATGTCTTCAAGGTACTTTGCTGACATGGTGCGCTTTAGAGTATGTTGTCTCATGTTGTACAGAAAACATTTTTACATTTAATATTTACTTGGCAGGTGGCATTTTAGTGCCACCAGGAAAGAGCAAAATGTCAAGTAAGGGTGCTTAATGTTTCTTTTTTTGTTGTTGAAAGAGTCCAAATAGCCTAAACTCAAATACTGACAAACCCAAGGGCTGATTTATGAGCAGCACTCTGAAACTCAGTGGCCATTTCTGCCGAATGCTTTTAAAGTGACAATAAATGGTTTGGATTGTGATTGTTGACCATCAAAGAAAAAAAAGTGCACTTGTTTGTGGAAAACATTATATTGTAAAGATATAGTTTATATAGTTTTAAAAATAACATTTAGGGGAAAGATATTATTGAAGCTCCCATTTAACCTTTATGTAAAAAATATTTAACTTCATCTAATCTTCAACACATCCAAGCTTTCAAATATAAATAGCAGACCAATGTTCAATGATGAATTTATCATTAAACTGGCAATAAATAAATCCAATCTAGTGTTTGACAGACAGATAATATATTGTATCATGCTCATTTTTAGGAAATAGACTTTGATCAAGCTATCTTGTCAGGTACACAATAAGTCCAAACTGATTTGATGTTTGAGATTTCAGCTTGTAAGAAAAACTGAGACAAACTACTGCTTGAAGGAGAACATTAATTTTGTAAATTGTTCATGAGAAAACAGCAGGAGGAACGGAGTTGTCAGTGAATGAAGAACTTGTCCATCAAATAATCGACAAATTCARTGGTTCAAAGTGTGCAAGATAAGAATATGATTTCAAAAGCATGACTCACAATATGGTGAATTAACATATAATGGAAATGTGAACATGATTATAAAGGTAAAAGGACGACAGCACACCTCATTTAAATGAATGAATAAACTTAATAGGTGTGGTGAAGAAGCTACAGATGTAAAACATATAACGATGTCCCCACATAAACTGTGTTATGGGACAACCACCATATTGTCTCATCACATTAATTAAATGGCTATAAGTTCACCAGACTTTGTGATTTTATAGGATCATTTTGACTATTTATTGATTAGCTGTATATTCTGAGTGATGTGAAAAATAGCATTGCATTTACATTGATGTGCTAATTAAATACATGCTTACTTTATGGTGAGATGCTGAATAAACCTGTTTTCTGACATGTTAAAAAGTCAGATCCTTAGAAGTGGGACTCTGTGAACAGGTTGTGAACAATTTATGWCTTGCCTTTTGTAGTTAGCTCTTTAAATGATAACACTTTGAAAAAACTGTTTAGCCTTTTTCYGACAATCAATGAGCTAACAGCTGGTCAAAGCAAGGTCAAGACCAGAGTAGATTTTTGCTATTCTAAATCAACTTTAATCTCAAATGTTTTGCAGCAGTTCATGGATGTGGTATTTTATAAACTTCACAATACAAATTTAAATTATATTGTTTTGGTTTCTTTTGACATAAATATACTTCTACATCAGACAAGCTACAACTAGCTGCAGCTACTTCTGTTTGCACTAGCAAATAACCATAGATCTCTATAATAACTACCATGTAATGAAAAACTAAGGTTTATAAAACAGAATTACAATACATTTTATGAGAGTTCTTTTAAGAAAGCAACAATTCATTTTATTGTGGATTTTCTCAGGCTAACTATTATCTATTGCTGGTGTCCACAACACGTGAAATAATAATGTTTTAAAACCTTTTCACAGAAAGTTTTGATTATCTCTTGAAGTGCTTGAATCATGTTAGATTACTATGATGAAATCTGAGACATTTAAACATCCAAATGGAAATGCTTGAAAATCAAAATCATTACTTTGTCATCAAGTGTGTTTTCCAGTCCTGGCCCTCAATTTCCACTTCTGCATTTGTAAAAAAAACATGTCCTTGTCAAAAAAACTGATTTAAAAACAAAAACAATAACCTTATTAGTTTGTTATTGAGTTCTGCATAAATTCAGAAACTATATCAATTTAAAGCAGGTGTGCTGAAGTTGGCTTCTAAAGCCTGCATGGCACTCTGCCCAGAGGAGCAGGACTTGTAAACATTGCTCTGGTCATACATTAACAGACAACTGCATCCAGTGGAAATGACCAAGGGTGAACAGCTATCAGGCACAAATTGTCCTGATAGTGATAGTTGGTCAAATCCCTCATTGGTGCAAACTAAAAGACACAAACTATGAGCATGATGACCTCTAATACAACTTTACTAACAGAAGACTCAACATCTTGTAAATATATGTACGTATATATCCGCTCAGTAGATGTCCGATTAAAGACTCTCAGTGAAAAATAACAAGTCAGTTTTGTTGGGTAGAAGGTTTGGTAATAATATTATTTGTAAATCTTTCATTTTTTTCTGTSAAAATACAAGTTGACCACAAACATAATTGACTGTATAATAATGCTTGAAAGTTTGAGAACCCTGCTCAGTTGTGTGTGTATATACTGTATATATATATATATATATATATATATATATACAAACCTTCATTAGAGTGTGCTCCTCTCACAGAATAACATTCTTGCACCCATACGCATGCACAGAGGCAGGTTTCTTTCAGCTTGTCTTTCTCTGTCATTGGATTAATTAAGTTAATGGGAGATGGATTTTTTTCTTCTTGATTAAATGAAGCCTGATCTCCCACCATCACCTCCTGATGAAGAGTAATGCTGATTGAAGCAGCTGAAAAGCACTTTAACAAATGCAACACACATCTGCGGTGGAAACAAAGCACTGTGAACACACTTAAGACACACATGCATCAAAAAGTCATTCAAAAACAAACGTGTAAAACAGTCAAACATGAACACAAACACTCATGTGTAAACACACACGGATCATCTATACAGTATCTTGCTTCCTCACTTCCATTCGAAGTAATCAGGTCTCATTAAGTCATTACAATGTTTGCTGCCATTTCCCAGCTTACTGCCARTAATTTTACTTGATAAAAGATGGGTGAGATGATGTATTGATCCAAGATGTCATGATAAAAACTAAATACATTTTAACTAATGCAAAAACAAACAAAAATCACATCAAAATAAAACTAAGCATTGCTATCCAGCCTTAAAAAATACAGAGGCATTTTGATATATGTCTAGGATCTRACATTGTTTATGGGAGAAGGTGCGCAGTGTCACCTATTTCAAGCATCACTGATGTTGTTTAGAAATATAACACCCACATTTGTACCATAAACTCTGACATGCCCTAGTTTTCTATCTATCAAAGCATGCACACATGCAGYCACATCCACCATCACCAAACACTGACGTAGAAATGTATTTAACTCCCTACACAGTCACTGTCAGCATCTCATGACAAAACAATGAGGTGAAGAATAGATGATTGGTGAATTGGTCATTTGGACTTTTGTCTATACAGTTGGGGTCTGCTAAAAAAGCAAAGCACACTGCTGAGCGGTCCACTTGACCAAAGTAAAAGAAGTTTATAACTTAMTCCATGTGGAGGACAGTAGTTCACAATAATGCAGATACAATGAAACAATCTATACATGAATAATATAAAAAAAAAACGTAATCTCATTGGGCTGCCTGTAGCTAAGCTAACTGATTCCAACAATTCC